TACCCTTTGAGTGTGACACAAATGCATGATACTATTGAGGCTCATTTCACATATGAACAAGATTCTGTTCTTGCTATATGTACTGGGTGGTTTTGTGTGTCAGCTTGACACAAGCTAGAGTCATCAGAGGAAAGAGCTTCAACGGAGGAAACGTCTCCTTGAGATCCAACTGTATGGCATCTTCTTTAGTGATCAATGAGGGAGGGCCCAGCCCATGGTGAGTGGTGCCATCCCTGGGTTGGGGGTCCTAGGTTCTGAAAGAAGGTAGGTTGAGCAAAACCATGGGAAGCAAGCTAGTAATCAGTTCCCCTCCATGGCCTCTGCATCCAATCCTGTCTCTGGGATCGTGACTGAGTTCCTGTCCTGACTTCCTTCAGTGATGAACGGCAATGCTGAAGTGTAAGCCAAATAAACCCCTTCCTCCCCAATTTGCTTTCTGGTCATCATCTTTCATTGCAGCAGTAGAAACCCTAACTATGACACTGTATTAAGCCCATATACAACCTGAATCTAGAATAGATAACTTTGAAGCTTCCCTAAGAGGAATGAAGGCCTTTCACTGGCTGTAGTATCCTAAAATGGATGGTCCCTCCAATGGCCATTTTTATATTAGCTACTAATAAGTATTACTGAATCACTGGCTAATTCTGAACATTTTGGTTCATTATAATTGGATCTGTGGCTTATTGAGGATGAAGACTGACTGTCTCTTAGCCCTGTAACTGCCGTGGAAGCAGAAAAATGTGCCTGGTCAGCCATTTCCTCCATTCTGAAGAGCAGGGGAGCCAAAGCATAAACCAGTTAGGAAGGAAAGTTTGTTTTTCCCAGTCACATCTTGCATTTTACTTTTTTAAAAGTTGGAGGGAAATGGGACATGCTCCAAATGTTGGAAGGGAAGCCTCTTGTTCATGTCTCTCCCTAATATTCCGTATGTAAAGCATTATCAATCACAGTTGTTCCCTGGTGTTAAATGGTTCATTATAGTCAGTGAACCACAAAATATCTAGGTAAAGAGGCAGGATTCAAGTTAGGGGCCAGATGCATTGGCCATATGACTGCTTGCTTCTAGAAGGACAAAATGCAGCTCTTGGTATTCATTGGATATGTTGGAAGGTTGTTGTGTTTGTCAGAGTTTGTTAACCTTGTTGGGGAAAGGACAAAGCAGTCAGACAGGTACTAAATCTTCATAAGCCCACAAGTCCTGAGAACTTCACTCATAAATAGAAACTTCATTCATTTTCTTCACTATTTCACCATTGCAGATGGATAGTTGCCTTGATATTTGATTATTTTGAGTGAGTATCTTCTCTAAGCTGGTCTGTGTTTCTGGCTCTCTCTCTCTCTCTCTCTCTCTCTCTCTCTCTCTCTCTCTCTGGTGTGTGTCTGTGTGTTCTTTCATATTTCAGGATAAAATGGGTAAGAAAACTGTGGTTTTTGTGTAATAGTTCAGTACCTCTCTTCATTATTTAATGGGTTCATGAACTAGATGACATGTTTTATCCCTCAATCTTTGGTGTTTTTAATATGTGTTTATTTGTTGTTTTCCCCCATTTATTTTGTGTGTGTGGCATTACAGGGACAGGTACACTATGGTGCTCCTGTAGAGGACAATTTGTAGAAATTGATTGTCTCTTTTCATCACTTGGATTCCAGGGATTGAACTCAGGTTATCAGGCTTAGTGACAAGCACCCTTACCTGAGTCATCTTGCTGGCCCTTTTCTGTGAAAGTTTAGACACAGACATCTCTCTTTTTTATTTCTTCTGTTAATATCTATGAGCCAAGTCCTGGTTTTTAATGTTCCTTCTGACTGTTCCTTCTTGGCTTCTGGCAGCTCTCATTCCTCTGCCCATCTTTAAATATTGTTCCTAAAGCTTGGCCTTGAACCCTTTCTTCTTCTGTTCTTTGCCAGGAGTCAAGCTCCACCTGCCTCACATAAACAGACTCTCTTGAAACTTCTTCCAAATTCTAACTCGCTTTTTCCCCCTTACTCTTGTCCAGTCACTCTAGGTAGGGTTATTCATACCCCCCCCCATGTATGGTGTATGTGTGTGGACATGTGTGTGTGTATGTAGACATACATGTGTGTATACTTGTGGACATTTGTGTGTACATGTGGACTTACGTGTTTGTGTACAGGCCAGAGGTCAACTTTGGGTGTCTTCCTTGGTCAGTCTTCACCTTATATTTTGAGATACTGTCTCTCATTGAGCCTGGAACCCACCAATTTAATTAGGTTAGACTAGCTAGCCAAGATATTCTGAGGATTCTCTCTTTAGAGGGGTGTTGGGGAACTGAACTCATGTACTCATGCTTGTGTGGTACGCATTCTATCTACTAAGGCATCTATCTCCCTGGGCTCTATTTGAAGAAAACCAACTTCTACTTTTCATTGCACAGTTAAGAGCTGTAATTGCCAAAGTTTTGAAAAAAATCAGCCCCATAAACAATTTTTTTCAGAAGTTACTATGATTTCACAACTTTCATAGTCTTCTTCATATGTACACCCTGATGTTATTATTATTGTGTACATATGTATTACATTCCCCGGTAGACTGTAAAGTCCTCAAAGGGAAGGAGTTTATCTTCAACTTAATGGAATCCTAAGGAACATAACATACTGTCCTGTACATAGTAGCTACACAATAAATATTAACTAGGACAAGCTAATGAAGTTGTTGTTAATTGAAGCAAAGAGAAACAGTTATGTTATAGCTTCCTAAAATTCTTCAATCTCATTTCAGAAAAAAATGAAGGATTTGGAGTATTTGGGATTAGTGTCCTTGATCTCTAAAGGGGTTTATTTGTGCTTAGGCATGTATTTTGGTTGTGAGCCTAGCCTTTAACAGCTGAGCCATCTCTCCAGCCCTGTGCTTAGATATATAATGCTAAGTGAACTTTACATTGAACAGTCTGCAAAAGGAAGCTGTTGTGAGCTGTATTAGAAATGCCAGACATTTGGTTACTTTGCCTTTGCATGCTGAAAAGAGACTATGCTTTTGTGTGCTTTGAGCTTCTTGTAGATGGTTTTTTTCCTGCCCGATAATCAGGGTTGTATTATTTTTCTTAAAAATACCATTGGAACATGCTGTCCCTCCTTGGCATTGTACTTGGATATTAATTTACTGCTGGAGGACACATTGGGGGAGATTTCTGAAATTGCATAGGGAAGTGTTTCTTTAATCCTCAAATTTGTCAAATGCTTTATAGTAATGGAGATCCTAATCTCCCCGTTGGTAGAAGAGATGGAATGGTTCCTGGGGATATTTTTTTCCTGAGAAATTGCTATATTAGAAAATGCTTCATTCAGTTTTTTCTTAATCCTTTCTGCATGCTCAAAGGCCCTCAGGAAATGAGTAGATGGTGTTGATTCAGGTCTTTTGTCAGACTCTGAACAATGCTCCGACTCTGAGTCACAGTCAGTGGCCTTGAGCCCTCATAGGTGACTCTTAAAAGCAGTTTGCTTTAGTATTGCAATCACATGTGCATATTAAACAGACTGTTCAAATGAGGTCATGATTTTGGGAAATAGTCGTCTTAGACTATCTTGGCCATGCCACATAAATTGTCAAGCAGCCAGGCAGTGTGTAGTTTCCGGGGTGAAGGAAAGGCACCTTGAGGCCATGATACTCATGTTTCATTGGCTTCTTCTTCTTCAGGTTAGGTCACGGCATGCTTCTCTTCTCCTCTGCATTTTTTACACTGAAGAATTTTTTTTTCTTTGTTTGTGAGGCAGTCACAAGTTGCAGCTTGCCTTGTAAATGATAACATTATTAATGTCCTTGTGCCTTTGGAAGCATTTATCCATTGCCTGCTAACAGCCATTGCTTCTGAAGTGTCCAGAGCTAGTGCAGTGCTGAGAAGCACGGGAAACATCCAGGTCCAGGAAGGGCACAGACACAGTAATGATTGCTCATTCTAATGATGAATGTGCGCAGCTCTTTCCTAATGTGATCTGGGATTGGGAAAAGGTAGGTTGTCCCTAGCTTGTTACTTTCCATTGCCTGGTACTGTTTGAATTACCCTGAATCTGAGAGTTAGGGGAAGAACTGGAGGATTAATTTCCCATGACTATATTAGGAAAGGTAGTTTTGAACTGTCCAAAATTAAAAAAAAAACAAACAAAACACAAACATCTTACCACAACCTACTGTTTGACACCCCAGAAGGAATGTTTAGCTGTAATTCTAAGCTCTTTAGAATTTAATTTTATTTCTTAATAAATAACAAGTATTACCAATTTTCTTTTTTCAAAAGATTTATAATAATAACTATTATTATTTTGAGACAGGGTTTCTCTGTGTAGCTTTGGAGCCTGTCCTGGTACTCACTATGTAGACCAGACTGGCCTTGAACTCACAGAGGTCTTTCTGCCTCTGCCTCCCAAGTGCTGGGATTAAAGGCGTGCACCACCACTGACTGGCTGATTTGTTATTTTTAATTGTGTGTATGTATGTGTCTGTGTGAGAGTATGTGAATGTGAATGCAGTGCCCATAGCAGCCAGAAGAGGGCATCAGCTTCCCTGAATCTATGAGCTGCCCTGTGTTGGTGTTGAGAACAGAACTCCTGGCCTCTAGAAGAGCAGTAGGTGGGCTCTCAACTGCTAAGCCATTCCTCTAGCTCCTTACCAAACCTCAGCCTCTTTTTTTCTCTCTTTCTTTCTTTGATTTTTCCAGACGGGGTTTCTTTGTGTAGCCCTGGCTGTCCTGGATTCACTCTGTAGACCATGCTGGCCTCTAACTCACATAAATCCGCCCGCTTCTGCTTCCTGAATACTGGGACTAAAAATGTGTGCCACCATGTCCAGCACCAACATTCTTAAATATAGAGTTCTGAGGTAGAATTTTGCTTCTTATCCATTCCCAGGGAAACTTGGGTAGTGTGCATCCAGATTCCAAGGCTTTTGAATGAGAGTTCATCCTTACAGTTGTAAGACTGTATTATGTTTTTGCAAACATCCCTCACCTCTAAGAGAATATATTTATTGTCTTGTATTGTAGCGAGTCTCCAGCTAATAAGTCACATTGAGCAGTTTTTGGATACCAACGAAACACTGTATTTTATGAAGAGTATGGAGTGCATCAAAGCTTTCCGGGAGGAGGCCATCCAGGTAGCTGCACTCACCCATGTTCTACCCAACAGCTGTCAAAGGGCAGGCATAAGCAACACTGCACAAATAAGCCTGGGCTTTGGAAGCATCATTCTCACCGTGAACAGTACAGTATGCCAAGAGGAGTGGGAATGACTTAAATTACTGCATCTGTCATTGTCATCACGCAGGAGGAATGGAGGCAATTGGGGCAGGGGTGGGATGGGGGATTCATCCCTCAGAGTTGGCTTTTTATGATACCAGTGTCCAGCCTACATGCTCATACTGAGGAAAGTCCCATTGTAACCTCTGATAGCCCTGTCATTATAAAGGATAAGCTAAGTCTTTTAGGAAAATTGATTTTTGAGAAGGATTTTATAAAGACAGGAGTAGGTATATGAATGCCAGAAGAAACAAAGAACCCTACAAACAATAATAATTTCCCAGTGTTTTAAGTGGGTTTTCTTTGTTTCATTAGGAACTTTTAGAAAATGCTGGTGCTGGGTGGTGGTGGCGCAGGCCATTAATCCCAGCACTTGGGAGGCAAAGGCAGTTGGATCTCCAAATTGGAGGCTAGACTGGTCTACAGAGCAAGTTCCAGGACAGCCAGAGATACACAGAAAAACCCCTGTCTTGGGGGAAAAAAAGGAAGGGAGGGAAGGAAGAAGGAAGGAAGGAAGGAAGGAAGGAAGGAAGGAAGGAAGGAAGGAAATGCCTATAAACTCCTTCTGGGTCATTTCTGGGCATTTATTCCGTTGAGCAAGAAGTGAGCCAGTTTGAAATAGAAAGTGTATTTTTAAAGTAGACATAGTTGTAGAGTGTTTCTGTGTTGGTACACTGAATGAACAAATTACTACTTGAATAATTTAGGTTCATACAAAGAATGACAAGAAAATGAGAAAATGTCATTAGAAGTAGATGATCCACACCCCCTACAGATTAAAAAACAAACAAGCAAACAAAGTTTTGGAAAAGTAGAATCAAGAGAAGACTAAGGATGGCTCAGATGAGTAGAGACAGATTTTGGCTAATGGGGAGAAGTAGAATGTGTTGCTTTTAAAATCCCCACCTCAGGCTTAGTGGAACTTCTAACTTCTGTACTTGTTGCCACCACAGCTCCCGAAGAATGTCAGCAAGTAGTGTGAGCCTTAGAGAAAAGAGAGAGCTGGACTCTGGCTGTACAGCCTCGAGGGCACCCAGTGTTGACTGATCTTGCATGCTAAGGGGGATCAGGGCTGGTTCGGACATGGGTGGACAGTCTGTCTCAGTAGCCTAGTGTGGACGGGGCCCAATGGTCCACAACTAGGGTGAGAACCAGACGGAAGAGGAGCAGGAGAGACTGGAGACAGATCAGTCCATCTCAGCGCAAACCTGCTGTACGCTGTAAAATTAGGCTGTTAAAGGAACATGAAGTTCATATAAAGACACAAAATACCTAGTGGCTCTTTGCTCCTTTGTCATCTTAAATTTTCTGATGTATAATGTTGTCTATTTTCCTTTTCTCCCCTTCTCAGTAGTCTCCCTGACCACTGACACAGTCTCAGGAGTCCATAGTGGCTTAGAGCTCACAGTACAGATGAGGCCAGCCTTGAACACTTCATTTCCTTGTCTCCATTTCCCCAGTGCTAGGATTAGAGGGATGATCCAAGAAGCCAGGAACCAAGATGAGCATGTTTCTTAATTTAAAACATATATAGTATATATTAGATGTGACATACAGAAATATTTATAATTGAAATAATATGTTGAAATTTATTTTAAATTTTCTCCTAGAGCTGGGTGAGATAGGGGTGTAAACAAAACAAGGTTGGTTGAGTTACTGCTGGAGTGAGTAATGTAACTCAGCAGTAGAGCACCGGATCATTGTGCACGGGGTTCTGTGATCAACCTCTGTTAATCACAAAAAGAAACAAAAACTGGGTAAATTGACAGCTCTTGAAGTCAGATGATCAGTGTATTGAGCTGCATGAGCATTCAATAAAGTGTTGTTTTGCTTGAAATCATCTGCACTGAAAGGTAAAAACAAAGCTCTAAGCAGCCAGAATCTCTGTGGCTCTGAGCAGCTCCGTGCCTTCTGTGATAGCCGTCTCTCTGGTTCCCAAAGGACAGAGCAGTCTGAGTTGCTGGCTTCTGATTACCAAAGTGCTTTTGTTTCTGACAGATTCTGGTCTAGTGCCTTGGTCTGGAGCTGTGCTTGGCCTTGTGTTTGCTCTGACCTGCCTCTTCTACTCTTGCCCACCCCAGTTTTCAGAAGAGCAGCGCTTCAACAGTTTCCTGGAAGCCCTTCGAGAGAAAGTGGAAATTAAGCAATTAAATCATTTCTGGGAAATTGTTGTTCAGGGTAAGATGGTCTTGTTTCCTTCAGATATTGATGCTACTTAAAAATATACATGAAACTTTCCTTTTTACTTTTTCATTTCCATGTGTGGTGTACATGTATGTGCATATTCATGAGGGTGTGCATGAGGCATATGTTGCTTTTGTATGGCTGTGTCTGTGCGTCGTGCTGAGCACATGTGCACGTGCACACACATACAGGGAAGCCCACGGTTGATGCTGAGAAGCGTCTCCATTGTTCTTCACCTTACTTTTTAGATGGAGTTACTTTGATCACCAAGGATGAAGGCCCTGGAAGCTCTGTCACAACTGAGGAAGCCACAAAGGTATAGAGAGCTAATTCCCTCCCTGTCTTTAGCTGAGTTACACCATGAGGAAGCTACTAACACGGTGGACCTATTCCTTATCAGCCAAGCCCACTATCAGCCACAACATTCTTATGTCCCAGTTTTAGTAGCTGCAGAACTGTTGAACCCTCCTGCTTAGCCTAGATCCTAACTAAGGCTGTGAAATACCACTCTCACATCCCTCTCTTCACCACCATAGATATTTTAAAATCATGTGTGGTGGAGTGGGCTGCATGCCATGGCGGTGTCTTGTGGCACATGGCGCCTGTGGGTGTTAGATACAACTGCAGGAATCGGTTTTCTCCTACCGTGTGGGTTCCAGGGCTTGAACTCAGGTTGTCAGACTTGATGGCAAGCACACTTACCCACAGATCTGTCCAGCTGCACCTTCCCATCTCTTGTCAGAATACTGGTTAAACAGCTAGGACTAGGGATGTAGCTCAGTGGTAAAACAATTGGCTAAAAATAGCATGCACGAGGTACTGGGTTTGCTCCCCAGCACTAAAAACAAAGATAGGAACTGCTCCAAAGATTCAGAGTCTAAGACTGGTCTCAGGAGTGGTTGGTTTGAGGTTTTAAAGCTGTTTTGGGAATATAATGTCAAGCTGGTAGAGAAACACTCCTAATCTAGCACTGGGAATAGCCAGGTGTTTTTACTGAAAGACCCCCCCCCAAGTATACAGAACCCAGGAGCTTTTGATTGGCACATTCGTTAGGCAAAGCCCTCCTTGTTTGATGTATTGAATATTAAATCTGACTCAGCTGTCAGTCAAATATATGTAGCTATTTAGCTCAGTAATTCTTCCTTGTACATCAAGGTTGTAATGAAAATTTTATGAAATTCAATTGAATAGCTCAGAGGACATAGTTTATAGCACTGTGCTGCAGTCACAGTCACTGGCTGACCTATTCCCTCTAGCATGGCACCTGGCAGCTGGTAGTTGACTCAGCTGCTGTGGAGTGGTCACTGGGCTTGGATAATGACAGTTCCTTGACCTCCAGCTCAAATGGTCAATTCCGGGAGCACAGGGCTGTGATGGAGACTGGGCATAGCCACGGGGTAAAGGAGAACTCTACCTGGAGACCAGAAGAGCTGGTAAGGGAATGGAAGGGGCAAGACTGGGAAGGTTTAGTGTTTATCTGACTTCAAAATGCCATAATTTTCAACTCAGAAAAGACATTACACAGGAAGTGAGTACTATTTGGGAGAAGAGTTAGCTAACAATAATCAAGAATTTTTAATTAAATATTTTGATTTGCAAAGTTTTTTTTCTTGTTTAGTTTTTATTTTATTTGATTTTTTTCAGATAGGGTCTGTAGCCCAGGCTGGTTTTGATCTCCCTGTGTAGCTGAGGAAGACCTTGAACTTAAACCTTTGTGTGTGTGTGTGTGTGTGTGTGTGTGTGTGTGTGTGTGTTTGCGTGCACGCACGCACGCTCACACATACATCTATTTAAGTGTGTGTTCATGTGAGTGCAGGCACACTCAAGCTGTCACATGGGTTGGCAGTTAGAGGACAACCTTGGGTGTCACCCTTGTCTCCCACCCTGTTTGAGACAGGATTTCTTCTTGCCACTGCCTGTGACATAGTACCTGCTATTTCTACGTCCCATCTTACTGTAGGGCACATGGGTTCGGAGGATCTGAACTCAGGTCTTCACTTATGCAGCAGTGCTTTACCCTGGGCCATCTCCATAGTGTGGCCTTGAATTCTGATCTTGCTGCCTCCATCTCCCAACTGCTGAGATTACATCACCACACCAGTGCATGTAGTGCTGGGAATTGAACCCAGGGCCTTTCACTTGCAAATGAAGCATTCCACCAATGGAGTCATGCCCTCACCTCCCACCCCCACCCCACACTCACTGCAAAAGCTTTTGACAAAGAACAGGTATGGGCCTACTCTTGAGAAGCAAGACCGCAGTGCTTACAAGAATCCTCAGTGGTACTGGCTATCACACAGTGCCTGCAGCCACTTCTGCCACAGCCAAAACTGAGTACATGGACTTGAGAATGTCACTCAAATGCTTGGTTTTATTTCTACTTGTTACTTTATATAATGCTGTAATAATATTTCTCCCGTAAACTGGAATGTTGTCAATCAAGGGTCTTCAAAGAAGTACCAATATAAAACACACAGAGTGAGTGAGTGAGAGATAGGGAGAAAGGGAGGGAGAGAGACTGTATTTGTTTAACCTAGACCTTAAAAAATCCAAATGTTTTTCTGTATTTAAGCTTGGCTTAGAGTTAGTCGAGAGAATGAAAAGTGACCTGTGGTGGGGAAATGCCAAGCGTTATATTGTTATCTACAACTTGAGGTTTTTATAGAAGGAAGAGTACTTGTTAAGTTTTCAGGTTGTCTGTCTCCACTTGCAGGCACAAACAAGCTGATTGTGGGCACAGCTTTTACCTCAAGTGTATCAAGGGAGTACCTCAAATTGGACACTGGTAAAGACAGTTAATTTGATTGCCTTCATCTTCCTTGATGATGGGTGCTGGCTGCCACTGACTCACGAACTTATAAAGTTTAAAGATATCAGAGGGATAACTCTTCGAAATGAAAAGTTCTCTCAGGATAACATCCTAAAAAAAATCTCTTGTCAATCCCTGTTCCCAACAGATGCTGAGACTTGCCTGGACAAATCTATGCAGGTTGTAAGGGGGATGGATGCTTTGGGTCCTGCAGGGTCCTCCCTGCAGGTAGAGCGGGGGAAGGGCGGTCCAGCCGGCCTCTTCTGGGGGCTGAGCAGGATGGTGAGTGTTGACGACTCAGACCCTCCCCCATTAGTTACCGAGGAAAAAAACACACTGAGTCGGGAGTCTGTCGAAGCAGGATCTCAATTTATTTCAACACGCAGGAACTTATATACTGAGGTAGGGGATGGGAATCTTAGGATAGGGTAAGGTGATGTGAGGAGTTAAGGGCCAATAGTATTCCACCAAGCAGGCAGGTAGCTAGGCTGGGGGCAATCTTGCATCAGATCTGGCTGAGTCACCCCCACATGGAGGTTACAGGTTAGAGACAGGTCGCTAAACTCTAGCCAGACTGAGGAGGTTACACTGGGCCTCACATCCAAGCCCTAAACTCAAGTCAGGCTCAGGATCTTACACTGAGCCTCAAATCTTAGCCTTTCTTAGGCCCATCAGGGTCCTACCTCCCTCTTATCATTGTTGCCAATCTGCTGTTCATCACACAGATGAACTGGCTAACATGACTGGTGGCAGGTCTGAAGTCTGAGGCAGGCTGACTGGTTTGAGATCAGGCAATGTCCCTCTGCCACCATCTTGAAGAAGAATTCCTCCTGGGAATTCTGTGTCGTTCAAGGCTTTCATTGATTGGATGAGATTTACCAAAGTTTATCAAGAGTGTTCTCTTAAAGTAAGCTTTTATAAATGTTTATCTTACCTACAAAACACTGTCACAGCAACATCCAGATGGAACCCCTGGCTTTCAGGCCTAGAGGTGTTGGAAAAAAGCTATGCCAGTCACCTCTTGCTAAATGCAATAACTATGTATAATTTATTTTTAGTCATTATGCATTATGAAGAATCTGTCATCTAGGTAAGATTGACTATATAATTCTAGTTTTTACAGCAAGTGGGAAATGCTGATGTTCAAAAGGTAGACTTTCCTCCCCACAGCATATCTTAGCTAAAAATGTCACATCTCAGTGAATACAGTTAGTGAGGGAAGGAATCTAACAAGAGATGACACTTTCAGATTGTGTGAGACTCATCTGTATTGCACAGGTGATAGCTTCTTTCAGGTTAAAGAGCACAGAGCCTATGCATCAGGAGTTTCAATGTCTGATAATTAAGCTTTAGAGAGAAATTTTAGCTAATTGCTAGGAATACGGTGGCATCCTTAGGTGATTCTAATAACACCAGAACCGATTTCAGTTGTAGTGTAGGACAACTGGGGATGTCGCCATCTTTGAGTGGAGGTAGCACAGTGAATAGCAGGTGGGAGAGGTTCTTCTCCTGTCCCTGGCTACCTGGTGCCGTATTGCTTGGTGGACAGTGTTTCTCTACCAGCACAACTCCACTTTATGGCAGACGAGAAGTCAGGAAGTGCAGCTGAATCTGTGGAGTACCAGTTCTGTGAGAGGCCTTTTGGTATGTGTTATCCTAAAACCTCTGCAAAAGTATATAGCACAACAGCTTTGAAGTTCCCTTTTACATCTAGAAAACACCCCCCTCTCTGTCTCTGTCTCTCTCTTTCTTTCTTTTTTACTTTCACATTTTCAGTGCTTCTACCAATTTATTTGTTTGTTTGTTTTGGTTTTTCAAGATAGGGATTCGCTGTTTAGCCCTGGCTGTCTTGGAACTCGCTCTGTAGACCAGACTGGCCTTGAACTCAAAGATCTGCCCACTTCTGCCTCCCAAGTGCTGGGATTAAAGTGTGCCACCACCACCTGACCCAGTTTAATATTTTTATGTGTATGTGTGTGTATGTACACATGTGAACATAATGTAAGAATGCTAGTATGTGGGGTGCATGCGCCTGTGTTATGCAGGGAGGCCAGAGGAGGATGCTCTGTCACATTCCACCATATTCCTTTGAGACAGGGACTGGCATTAATTTTGCTGTAATAAAATACCTAACAGAAAGTAACTTAGGGAGAAAGGGCTTATTTGGCTGACAATTCCATGTGCAGTTCATCATTGTAGGAAAGTCAGGGTAGGTACCTGAAGCAACTAGTCCTAACCAACGAAGAGCAGGGAAAATGATGTGTGCATGCTTAGCCTTACCCAGCCGTCTCTGTTCTTACATTGTGCTGTTCCCAAGCCAAGGAGAGATACTGCTCACTTTCAGCATATCCCATACCCTTTAAAGGAGGCAGGACAATTTGCCCACAGACATGCCCACAGTCCAATCTGATCTAGACAATCCATTATTGATAGGATTTTTCCAGGGATTTTAGGTTGTGTCAGGTAGACAATCATTACCGGCTCTTTCACGGAACATGGAGCTAGGCTGACACCCATCAAGCTCCAGTGAGCCTCCCACATCTCTGTGGTTCAAGGTGCATGTAGCGACTCCTGGGTTTCATTGTTTTTAATTAAATTCTTTTTCATACAGTATATTTTGATCATGTTCTTTCCCCTTCCCCAACTCCTCACAGATCTTCCCCACCTCCCTACTCATTCTTTCCCTCTTCCCTCTCAAAAAAAAAAAATGAAAAAAAAAACCTGAAAATCAAAAGAAACAATAAGACCAAAAAAAAAAAAAAAAACAAAAACAAAAAACCAAAACCCAAAATGAAACAAAGAGCCTACAAAAGAAACCCCAGAACATGGAGGCTGTTTTAGGCTGGCTAGCTTCTTCTGGGGGTAGGGCCTGACCTGGAGTGGGGTTGATACACCCACTGGCACTGCATTTCACTGTCACTATTTGCAGGTACCAATTGCAAATAGCTTCTTGGTTGGGGTGGGACTTTGTGTACATTTCCCCTTCTCAATGCTGGGATTTTTATCTGGCTTGAACTTATGCAGGTTGGTGCATGTTGTAATAGTCTCTGTGAATTTATATGTATTTCAGTCCTGTTGTGTCTGGAAGACACTGTCTCTTTGGTGCCTGTCATCTGTCACCTCTGGGTCTCACGATCTTTCTGCCTCCTCTGCCCTGAGCCTTGGGGGGGAGGGGTGTGCTATAGACGTCTTATTAGGACTGAGTGTTTCAAGCCCTCTCACTCCAGTTGCACATTGTCCTGTTGTGGGACTTTGTGTCAGTTATCATGTACTGCAAGAAGCTCCTTTGATGAGGGCTGAGCCATGCACTGATCTGTGGGTATAGCACTATTCCATTAGGGGTTATTTTATTGCTAATTCCCTTTAGCAGAATTGTAGTTGCTTTTTCCCTAGATCTACAACCCATTTAGCTGCAGATTCTTGGCCACTTTTTCAGTGTCCAGTATGAGTTCCATCTCATGGAGTGGGCCTTAAATCCAATCAGAAAGTGATTGGTTATCACCATGGCATGTGTGCCATTATTGCACTCGTTTATCTTGTAACACTTGGCTATTTATATGGGTGCTGGCATCTGAACTCAGGTACGCATGTACATGCAGCAAGTAGTCTTAATCACCGAGCCATCTTTGTAGCCCTTAATTTAGTGTTTACACCAAATGTTTATATGATGCTATTTTGATTTATGAAGAACTTCCACAGTGACCCAAAGACTGTGAAATAGAGCCCAAACTGTGATTCACCTCCACAGTGCATCCTATTGGTGTCTGGTATGCAAAATAATGCTTTTGTGTCTGCCTTAACATCAGTAAACCCCTTTTATACTAAACATGTCTTTGTGGTCTATGGAATGCTTAGTGGGCAAAGCTCAATACAACAAAAAGGGACTCTGGTGGAAGGCAAGAACTGATACGTAGAATTGTTCTCTGACCTCCTCATGCACAGTGTGTCATGTGTGCACCTGCACACTGACGTGCATATATGTGTATACACACACAACATGTACATGCTTACAAAGATGGTATCTGTTGGTTTTTTTTGAGAGAAAAGTGCGCCTGTAAATGCTAGTGGAGAGAATGCAGACTAAGATTCTGGCTCTGGGAAACGGGTTCCTCGTGCCTTTTCCCTTGCATCGGGTGTTTTTTGTTGGTGTATGTGCATGTGCTTGTATGTATGTGCATGTGGGGTTGTATGTGTGGAGGTCAGAGCAGAGGTCCATGTTAGATGTTTTCCTCAATCATTCTTCACACAGGTTTTTGAGACAGGGTCTCTCACTGAGCATACTGCTGACAAATTTGGCTAGACTGGCTGGCCAGTAATCCACCAGAAGTCTCCTATTTCTGCTTCTCCAGTACCAAAATTGCCAGCATTCACTGCCGCACCTGATGTTCTTTTTTTTTTCTTTCAATTTTTTAAATTTAAATTAGAAATAAGCTTGTTTTGCATGTCAGTTCCAGCTCCCTCTCCCTCCCCTCCTCGCCCGCTTCCCCCGCACCAGCCCCCTGAGGCCCCTACTCAATCTCTACTCTGTTCCCCAGGGAGGGTAAGGCCCCCCATGGGGGACCTCCACAGTCTATCATTTGTTCAGGGCAGAGCCTAGGCCCTCCCCCAATTGTCCATGTTGAGCGAGCATCCTTCATTGTGGGATGGGCACCCAAAGTCCATTTGTGTGCCAGGGATAAATACTGATCTACTACCCAAAGCCCCATAGATTGCCTATTTCTCCTCACTGACACCCACATTCAGGGGGTCTGGATCAGTCCCATGCTGGCCTCCCAGCCATCAGTCTGGGATCCAAAATCTCCCCCTTGTTCATGTCAGCTGTTTTTCTGAGTTTCACCAGCCCAGTCTTGACCCCTTTGCTCATCACTCCCCGCTCTCTGTCACTGGGTTTGAGGAGTTCAGTTCAGTGTTTAGCTGTGGGTGTCTGCCTCTGCTTCTGTCTGTCACTGGTTGTAGGTTGTAGGATGGTATATAAGGTAGTCATCAAACTCATTATCAGGGAGGGGGCATTTAAAGTAGTTCTTCACTATTGCTTAGATTGCCAGTTCACACCTTACATGGGTGCTGGGGATTGAAATGGGGTTTTAATGCTTGTACAGCAAGCACTTTTACCCACTGAATCAGCGCCCCAGCCCTCCTTGTGGCTTTAGTAGGAGTAACATGCTTCAATTATTTCACCAGTTGGTGAAATGCAAACCCTTTGACTAGGCGCTGAGTTTTCATTTACATTGTCATCCATTGTTAGGTTTGTCCTTTCCCAAGTCATCATTTAGGAAACCTTGACTCTAATCAGAAAGATAGAAGAACCAAGCTTGTCAGCCATCTACATCCTTTCAAGATATTTGCCATAAGCTTTTAAAAATCAGCAAACTTCAGATTCTTGCTATGAAATGTTGACATTTGAAAGGAAATAATTATCCAGGGATGTGCCCTTAAGGTGAAAATTAAATAGTAACTTTATACAACACCTTAAAGAGTGTCACTTCTCTCCAGGATGTTTCAGAAATATGTGGATTTTACCATTCTTTGAGAAATGGAGGTAAGTCTGTCCTGGTACAGACATGGAAATGTATCTCATAGACAAAACTGTGGTGTTTCATGGCTATAACCGTGCAACTTGGGAGAAGAGGGCATGGAACCAAGGCCAAGTCCAACCGGACTGCCCATGTCAAAAAGAAAAAATCATCTACAGATTTAGATAGGCACTTTAAGTTTCCTGGTATCTCTCATTTCATTTTGAAGTTGAGGTGCAAATACTGCTCTATGTAATTCATTTTAATGTCACTGGGACCAATTGATATTTTTGCTGAACTTGTTCTATTCCTAGTGGGAATTTTAGACCTGTCGTTTCCATAGGAAGTCTCTGGCAGGAAATCTTGTTCTAGGACTTAGAATCCTGATGAGGTATTCTAAGATAAAGTGTAGGAATCATCTCCCCTTCTCCTCATGATCGATCACCACATTTGGATTTGGTTTGTTTGTTTCCTTAATTTTTGCTGCCCTAGTATTGGGGATTGGATCAGGGCTTTGCACATGCCAGACAATCTCTTTACCACTATTGTCCCAACTGGATGTTTTTTCCATAATCTGCAGTCATCTGATGGTGTTGGAGTCAGCCCATTGAAAAAGTCTTGGGGTTTTGTTTTGTTTTGAGGTGAAATCTCACTTCATGGTCTAGGCTGGCCTGGAACTCCTTTGTAGACATGACTGGTTTCAAACTCTACAGCAGTCTACTTACCTGGGCCTCCAAGTGCTAGGATTGCATGTGTGAGTCACCACAACCAGCATTCTGTTTTTAATGTGGGTGTTGGTAAGGGTCTGATTGTTACCTTTTGGTCTTAACAGAGGGTTAAGACTGGCAGTTTCTATGCAAAGTTATTGATTTCATTTCTCTGAATGAATCTTGTGTACTTAGAGGTAGTACTGTTGATTCATTTTATAACGATCTTTAGGTAAGGAGACTCTTTGTGGTAAGCCCAAGTAAATGATGGTGGTTTGAGGAAGGGGAAGCATGTCACCCAAGTGTCCATTCTGTTTTTGCTCCACTTGAGCATATTGCAAAGGAAAACAATGACAAAAGATGGGAGTGGCTCGTGCCCCTTTCTGCTGTGCCTGAGAATTTGATAAAGCAGGCTAGTCCTCTGGTGCTCACTGCGTAGACTAGAAATTACTTGCTGTTGAAATTGATGAGGAGCGATCTGCAGAAGAGATCAGTCTGGGGCTTTGGGGAGGATAAGGAGGCAGCCCAGTCTGCTTATGCAGAAATGTGGAGATCTGTCAGGAACTCAGCAGCTGATGTTCCAAAATTGGTGGAGGGAAACTCAGGATTTTCTTTTCCTTTTCCTTTTTCTTCTTTTCTTTTCAATTTTCTTTATCTTTCTTCTTTTTCTTCTCAAAACAGGGTTTCTCTGTTTAACAGCTCTAGCTGTCCTGGAACTCCTTTTCTTTTTTCTGCTGCTCTTCTCTTCCTAGGAATTTGGCCTCATCCCAGAGATGTGCCATTCGTGGTTAATTATATATACCATGGCCACACTGTGCAGAGGATCCTATCTTAATTTATCCTTTAATTGCAGTATGAAGAGGCCTTGTAAGAGGTAAGGCAATGGGAATTGGAGTTTAGAGGATGAATGCCAGGATGCATTAGGGTTTTTCTAGATTCATCAAGGAAAACCCACCATGTTTCAGGTAGCTTATAGTGCCGTATGTAGTGGGCTATTGCCATGGAGTTTGATATTTCTTTGGGAAGTGCTGGTTATTTGTGGCCCCACGGTGGTATATACTAGATCTACCTTTGATTCTTTTCACCCTAACTAAGTAAGTCTTACTGTATGTTTCTGACATGTGGAAACTTGTCTGTTGGTTAATGATAATGAGTGGAAGTGGCAAGGTAGAAAGTAATCATTTTAGTATAATAATCAGGACAACTATGAAGATAAGAATCAAGAGCCAAGCATAGTTTATTTTTAACCTTTGACACAGAAAGCCATGTGCAAAGCTTCATTTATCTGTAGCTGGCCCTCAGATATCTTTGTTAATATCTCCCAGAATAAATCCATAGGATCAATGATACCTAAACTGCATTGCAGTTCTGTTCAGACTGTCTGTTTAGACTGTCTGCCTCAGATTTTCTGTCACTGGTAGCCTTGATCCCAGCTCTGCACAGGATCTAGTAGACGGTCACCAGAGAGCTATGGGGAGATCCATAGTGTCCTTAAAGAATCTCAGTCAGGATGGAGATCAACAAGCAGTGAGGGAAAAAGCCCAGAGGAGAGATGTGGTCCACAGACTGCCCTAGCTTCTGTCCCAGTGCGGAGAGCAGAGGCAGTGAGGCACACCAACCTCACATTTACAGTTCTGTTACCCATGTGTGAGTGGAGCCTGCTTCCAGGGACATGCTGCGTGAAGCCTCGTATTTAATGGGAGACTCTGGTTTATGGCTTGGTAAGGAGACATCATTGTGGTAGGTCTTGGGTTGCAGGGTTGTGGTCATTTCCATCATTCATAAAAATAGCAGGGATTCGTAGAGAAAGCAGTTTTCATGTTAGAGAAGTGAAAAAACTGTAAGTACATGCTTTCTTTGTTGCAAGGAGGCAAGTTTGAACCGGAAGGCTTGCTCACCACACAGAGTAACAACAGAAAGCCGTGCCCACCTCCTTCTGTGCTGGGACAGGTAGACACATCCACCCCTACTTATAGTTGCCCTACACCGTGAAGTCTGAAAAGGTTCTCTGCTATTCTGTCTTGAGGGACAGGGTGGGAAATGGTATTCAGATACTTCCCAGAGCTACTCAGTACTTTAAAAATCTGATATTACACCTGGATCTACAGCCCTTCAAGTGTGTCTGCCTTTTAGGAGCTCCAGTTTTTAGCACACTGATGTAGAGTGTCCTCATCTGTCTGTTTTCTAGCCATTTCTCACACAAACAGGATTTCCATGGAAGATTAGACAGCCTCCCAGTGCAACCATTTTGTTCTCTGTCGACATTTGTCCTCAGCTAGGTTCAGGAAGAGATGCCTATAATCTTGCTAATCTCTTTCAAAGGAGACCAGGAGGTGCTGGTTTTACTAGAGGGGGGTGGGGATTTCTTATTTTCTTAGCTTGGACATGCCAACACACCCTGTGGAAGAAATGACACCAGGTGTATGCTATCAGCCAACCCATCACCTCCTTACCAAGCACTGATGATTCCCTTTCTCACAGAACTGTCAGGTGACGAGTCAGTGTGGACTATCAAACCTCAAAACTAGCCCTCTTGTTTAGAGACGAAAGCTCCTGTGTTTTAGAACCTCCCTCCGTTTGCCTGTTCTTTTCATTAGAAAGACATAAATAATCATTTTATTGTCATGGCCAACTTCTTGTTTATAGTTTCTGGCTCCCAAAGACAAAGCAAAAGAAGATTCAGCAGGACTTGAAGAAGGTGGCGATGTGGATGATTTAGTAAGTACTTTTAATATGCACCAGGTGTTTAAAGATAGAATTGTCTAAGCTGTAAATACAGCCACAAAAACCGTGATTGTAGACTTGTTTTTCTTATTTGTATGTTAATTTCACACACATACCAGATGCTCCTTGCACTATTATTACCATTACAATTAATTATTACCATTACAAATGTAATCGTATAGGTAATTTCTTAATGGGGTTCCCTGAGTTCTCCAGTTTCAATTATAGTATTCATTCGGATTAATCATCCCCTCTGAAGAACCAAAAAAAGAGCCAAGGAAGCTAGTCCCTTAGTAGAAAAATGTTATAATTTACTGAAATTGTTCTTAACCAAAAATAAGCAGTGTAGCATGCAGTTTGTGTGGGTTGACAAATACAAACATCCTTTGAAAAGCCCACTTCTTAAGTGTTCTCAATTAGCTTAATATAAACAAAGCAGACTGATAGGCATTTGAAGTTTCCTGGACCTCATCACAACTCACTGTGGGTGCCCGGGAAGCTATGCAAGCGTGGGCTTCTGCAGCCATCACTTATGTTTGGGAAAACTGTGCCCTTCAGCGGCCTCGTGAAAGCTGGAGTGACGTAGTATGGTATCAGCCTTTGGTGGAGAAGTTTTTAGGGCTGGAATGAGGAAATATTTTGGTGTTTAGGTCCTAAAATATTTGGCAGAGAATACCTGAATGGGTGTGTGTGGCTATCAGGACAACCTCTCACCAGAGCCACAGGCCTGAGGGCAGCTGGTTCCCTTCTAAATACGTTGTTCTCACTTTCAGCTGGACATGATATAGACTGTGGATGTGTTGGGAATCCAAGCATGCCATCTCCGCGTTGCTGAGAGCTCAGAAAGAGCATCCTGGAAGCCATTCAGGGGGACCTGAAGCCCTGGTGATCATTCCAGCAGACAGCTCAGGAGCGAATCACTCCAAATCTCTACAGAATGACCACATCCACATATATTACAAGGGGTAACTTAGACCCTATCCAAATTTATAAAGACTCACTATTTTTTGATTGACGTATTGTTTCTTGTGTGAAGCCTTATTCCTTTTGGTATATTATACACATACATTGAAGTTTCTGGAAAGTAGACCTCATCCTGTCCTGGTGTGTCGATGAGGAATGCAATCTGGCACGACCCCAGATGACATTTTCAGCCCTGCTCAGGCATCATTCACCAGGTCTGCCAGCAGCAATAACTGATGTAGAGGGCACGGTAGTGTTCAGCTTTTACCAAGTGAGTTGGAAAAGTCACAAGTAATGACTGACCCAGTTCTCTTTCTCTTAAGTATTTTCACTGCCACTTTAGCTCATATTCTGGTGACTTTCCATTGACAGAGCGGGAAGGGAAACACAGTCACCCTGTGTTAGCTTGGGAATAACAGTGTTCTCATGAAGAAAAGGTCTTTGTTCATCCCGGTCTCTGTCATATTGGAAAACTCTGGGGAGAAAACCAAGGCTTGAGAAAAATCATTATCAGTGGTTAGAATTGTGTCATTGCATTGGTCCTCACTTACAGGCTTCTGTCTTTTCTCTGCCTAAATCAATGACTATATATCTGGATGTTTCACTTCCCCAAGCAAAGCACTTAATTTTCTTTCTTCTGTCGCGTTCCTTTTCCAAGTTCTTATTCTCCTTTCTTAATAGCCTCAGCCATCATGTGTCAACACCCTGTAAATGGTCGTGGGTGGACTTCACTGGTGGATGGCATGCTAGAGGCATGAATGGCTCGTCCCTCTGTGGACCACTGCTAAGTATATGCAAAAGCATGTCCAGTGCTGAAAATTAAATATAGTCCATGTGTGCACTGAGGATCATACACCCAAAGTGGGTGTCACACTGCCCAGGAGATGGCAGGCAGTGCGGTTTACGTTGGGCCCTTGGGATCTTCCCCTTGATGATCTGAACACTAGAGTCAGACTTGATGTCCAGGTGCCCTCTATCCATTCACCACCTTTTGAGACAAGGTCTCATTATGTAGCTCTGGTGGTCATGGAACTCCCTAGGTAGACCAGGCTGGCCTTAGACTCAGATCAGTCTTGAGTGTGGATTCAGTGTGGATTCTTCGAATTTTACTGAGTGAGAGTTTTGTTCCTCGAAGCCTGATGCACTGTTTCCACCTCCTCCTGGACCATGACTCAGTAAGTGTGACCCTGTAAGTAGCTCCTGTCTTTGACAGTGTGGGGAATTCTGTCCCATCAAGCCAGAAAAAGGTTTGAGTTGATTTAGCCTTACAGATTTGTGATAGTTTTCTTTCTTTTTAATTAGGTATATATGTGCTTGTTTGTATGTGGGTATGTACATGTGAGTCCAGGAGCCTGAAGAGACCAGAAGAAGACATTGGGTTCCCTGGAACTGTAGTTATAAGTTGTTATACGAGCCACCCAGTGTAGGTGCTAGGAACTGAACTCAGGTCCTCTGCAAAGGTACTTATGTGCTCTGAACTGCTGAGTCATCTTTCCAGCCCCTCCTTGTGATACTGGAGAGATGAGAGGGAGAAATGAGAAAGGACTAAATTACATGTACTTTCCAAATCCATTTCATGTAGGCACAGTGGCACATGCTTGTTGACTTCATGGAGCATACTATTGCGAATAGGCAAGTTGTGTTTTGGATGAATTTCATTTCCGTGAAACAAGCTTTGCAGGCCTAGAGAACTCGCAGGTTTTCTGCTGACATCTTGCCTTAGAAAACAATAAGTACTGAGTTGCCATCCATCAGGCACAGACTAGTCCCCAGAAGCTTAGCATTGTCACATGTGCCAGGCTTGAATGCGCACTGGAGGTCACAGAACATAGTCTCTGCCACCCTTGGTTTCCTATGCCAGAATACTTGCAGGGAGACAACAAGGACAATGTGGAATGAGCACCATGGGAGAAAGGGCCTCAAACAGCTATCTGCTGCTCATCAGAACAGGCTGCTGCAGAAAGGGCCTCAAACAGCTATCTGCTGCTCATCAGAACAGGCTGCTGCTCATCAGAACAGGCTGCACCAGCCACCGTACATCTCAAAGCAAAATACACGTGATCTTTCATTTACTTGAAAAATCATCCTGGTCTCAGTTGGGAAACCAAAACAAGGGCTGGTAGGATGGCTCAATGGCTAACACTGGCCACTGCTCTTCCAAAGGACCTAGGTTTGACTCCCAGCACTGGTCACCTTGTCTTGTCTGTCAGCTTAGGTGCTCTGAGGGCATGCAGTGAGGGTTCCGGAGTTGTGTGCTGCTTGTAGCAGAGCCTCTGCTAAGTTACTGGACAGCTGCCCCACAGGCTCAGTGAGTGGGAGCACGCCCTTGGAAATACTCTGTAAGTGCTGCAGTGCTCTCCACAGACCAGGTGGTTTCATGAGTGTTCCAGCTAGAAAGCATAGGCAGGACATATGAGTTCTTTTTACACAAAAAATGTAATTACGTTTGTTTGTGTATGTATACATGAAGGGCGTCAGAGGGCAACTTGCAGGTGTCTGTTCTCTCCTTCCATCATAGGGGTCCTGCAGATTGAGTTCAGGGCATCAGGCTTGATGGCAAGCACCTTGACCCGCTGAGCCATCTCTCTGGCCTGACAGATAGACTTTTTAATAGGTCTGACTCTTTGGTTATATCCATCATATTTCTTTCGGGATGTCGGCTTTCAGAACCACCAGAACTACTTATCTAGTTATTACATGAAAAATTAAAGTCTATTGATCAAAGGTAGGACATGGAATATGCTTTGGTAGTTTTGGCAAGGTGAGCAGTGACATTCTCATAAGTGTCCTAGTGTGAACTCTAGATGATATGATACCTAAGGTTTTGATTTGGTTAGTATTGCAACCAGGGCCCAAGAAATGGCCATTTGCCGCCTTGCCCCTCTCCCATGGAACAAGGTGTACAAGGAGCCAACTGCAAAATGGAAGTCACCACTCTTTGAAGACTTAGATTGCAGCTCGTGACTACAGGTTGAAAAGCTTTGAAGAGTTAGGTTGTAGCTCGTGACTACAGGTTGAAGTGCGCCTCTAAGATGCGCAGAGCAAAGCCACATTGCTGAACTTGCTTAGGAGTGGGGCCTGGCTCTCTTTCCTGATTTCCAGAATGGACCACAAAGTAGAGATAGTACAGTGTTTAACTCACAAATGATCCAAATAGCCCAACTACCTGTCACCTCTGCAATTCTCCGCACAGCAGGCAAGCTTCTTTACCTTTTGACCGTCACAGAGCTTTGCCCACTGATCAGAAGTGTAGAGTTGCAATCCCTGCTCAGAGTTGGGGTCCTGGGATCATTTTGGAAGGAAAAGTGCCTTCTTTCTCCTTTAAGAAGAATTCAGAACTAATCACTCTAGAGGCATAATGATGTAGTGTTCCAAACTGTGACTCACATGCTAGCATGCCTGCTGAATCTCAGTGCCACAGGCACTTAATAGCTGCGAGGCATAGCTGGTCCCTTCACCTCCATGAGCAACGAAGTTACAGCAATGGCTACAATGCCTGGAGAAGACAGAATCTTCCATGTGGAAGGGGTTCAGTGGTGGCTGTGCAGGGGCTGGGTGAAAAATGAGAACAGGAAGGCCTGCTGTGTAGAGGAAGCAGCCCCAGAAACATGTCCCGTCTTCAATACACACATTCTCCAAGCCTTTGCCATGCAGTATGGGATGGGTAAGGCAACTGAGGGGCCTCTGATAGACCTGGGATGGGGTTAGTGGCGATTGTTACTATTTAGCATGCTAAAAAATTTATTATGGGTAGGGTTCATGAATATACACTGTTAATGAGAGAACATCTTTGACAAACAGGGAAATAAAACTTACTTTGGAACACAACTCTCCATTTAGAAACAGGTCTGATTTGTTGGGTAGATGTTTTGATGACCTACTTGAGAGTAGGGGTGGGGGCAGGGTAACGAGGCATGTGGGAGGAAGGTGACACTCTGGAGAGGCAAGGCAGG